TCTCCCCATGAAGCCTTGGGGAATGGAGCACTGCCCACAACAGGGTATTGCAGGTGGGGCAGCTGCGGAGGAACCGATGCAGCTGCTCAAGGGGGAGGGAGACTCACTTACCCATGGGGGCCAGGATGGCCAAAAGGAACCAGTGGGGACTCATGAGGAAAGGCTATGTCCTTGCAGAAACCGGCTGAGGCAGCAGCACAGAGCCGAGTGAGGAGGAAATGTTGAGGGAGGAAGAGATAAATCACAGTGGGGATGGGCAGGGCAGTGAGAGAGCCTGAAATGTGAGAACACAGTTGCCTGTGGAGCAGATGTCCTCTGTGGGGCAAAGACTTCCTCTATTCTCAGGAAAGAGCAGCCTGGGGAAAGCAAAGGCATGAAAGGGAGGGGAAGGGCTGTGTGGCCAAACACCCAGACCCAAACACTCCCTTTTTGTAGGGAGAGTATGAAGTGAATTAGGCCAGAAGGCAAAAAGTATGGGAAAGGAGGTGTCAAATATGGCAGGGAAAGGTGGTGAAAGAGAGTCAAGAAAGAGGCTGCAGAAATGGCAGCAGAGAAAAGCAGCGTTACGTGAGAGAGAGGTGGGGCTTGAAGATTGACCAAGAGGTGAGAAGGGTTGGTACACTTTAAACACATCTCACTTGAGAAAGCGGGAAGAAGAAAATAAAAAGTGAGCAGGGATGAACTCCTGAGAAGAAAGGATGTTTTCGAGGCATGGAGAAAGGAAGAGAACATGAAAAATCCCAGTCCTGGTTTTCATGTGAAAGAAGGAAGGTACTTCTATGAAATGGAGATTTGTGCTCAGCTCTCTCAGGAGTTGAGTCACTGTGTCTCACTTTCAGCACAGTAATATGTGCCTGAGTCACTGAGAGTGGCAGGATCTACTGATAGAGATAGACCATCAGCTTGTATGCCGCTGCTCTTGAAGCGACCGTCACTGAAATCCTTCTCAGTCTCTACCTTGATGTCTTTGAGTGCAAAAACAACCAATTCAAGCTTGGACTCCATCCCTACAGGCACTTTATACCAGTACATCTGATAATGTGAAGTCTCCATCTCGGAACAGCTCAGGCTGACAGACTGCCCCACTCGACTGACTGTGTCAGGCGACTGTTTCAGGGCCCTCCCTGGAAAGAGAAAGGGGGAAAAAGGAAAAACATAATCAAAATCTGGGATGAGCAGGGACTGAGTTAAGATAAGAGGGGAGGATTTCATAAAACATCCCTTCCTCCACAAATACCAGGCTATATTATCCTCACCGTCAATACTTTGTGAGTGACCAAAAGGGAAAAAACAGAGCCAGCAGCCATTTCTGCAAAGCAAGGGAGAAAACTGGGGGCAGCTGCAGCAGCAATGAAGCCGCTGCCCCAAGCTGCAGAGAACTCACTTACCCAGGGGGGCCAGCATGG